TTTTTTTTTTTTTTTTTTTTTTTGTAGGAGAAGAAAAGAGGGAAGAACTGCAAATGATGACTTAAGAGTTGACATAAAACAAATTAACAGAGGAAACAATAATTTCCAGGTCAGTTCAGAAACTGTGATCTTGTGGGGAGCATGACCAGCCTGAAATCACAAACATGGAAATGACCACGGCAGGTATGGGAGAACAGACTGCTGAGGCTGCCTTGCGAATCAGTAGTAAACAACTCAGAAGTGGTGCGTGACTGCCAAGCCTGTGCTCAGAACACTTTAATCATAGATAGAACTTCTTGCCACTGGATTTCTAGGAAAAGTTTCCAGAGATCATGATAGAGAAATGTAGAACATGTGACAGATTTTGAAAGTAGGTTTCCTCCCTTGAACTTGTGAATTCCAAACACTTTAGGATTTGGAAGGTCATCACTGCCACGCTGCTCAGAGCAACCCTACAGTATTGCCTAATGCAGGTCCCTTCTCTGTCCCAGCCCAGGACCGACAAGGAAACGAGAGAGCTTTTTGGAATGATACTGGCTCTCCACCAAATGCATTTCCCAATTAAAAAAAAAAAAAAAAAAGATAGTAAACCTGAAAAACAGCATGTTCTAAATCTCACCAACCCTACCTAATGACTTTATTTTCCCTTTGGCTATTTGAATAACTGCTACTTGTTGAAGAATATACATGATACTATGATTTCTTTAAAAGAAATGTCCTCTCCCTGAAACGATTTTTAATTTCTCGGGGAAAGTGGTAAATACATGGACTCAGAGAGGCAAAGACTAGATATGACCAAATGACAAAGATGTTGTCTCTGGATATATTTTGTTTGGAAAATCTACCTGTAGACTGAATGGTGTGTCCTAAAGTTCAGAGGGAAGCAGTTTGCATTAAAGACCTTCGTGAAAATATCTAAGAGGGATTTCTTTGCTCTTTTTAATCTATAGAACAGAAAGATCCCCTCTGTTATTGCCTTCTAAGTCTTTCCCTCATCTAGGTAAGAGAGACTAGGGGTGTAGGCTGATAGCACTGCTAACCAGGCCTGGCTGTTCTTGTGAACCTCTTACCTTCTCATTTTTCTTCCTTCCACTAGCTGCTGCTGAATACACTTCTTTCCAAGCTTGGAACAGTCTTTTCCTTTCTTATAGTTATCCCAGCCTTTCTCCATAGTGTCTTGGGCTCTGTTAAAATACACAGGAAAAAAACATTTCAGCAATGGTATCTTCAGTTTTACCTTGACCTTCAGTATCTCTGTTCCTTTCTTCTAAAATAAGAAGGCAGCAACATTACAGGAAGGAGGTCAGGAGGTGGAGCTGTTAAACTGATCGAAAAGCAAAGGTATTTCTACTCACCTGAGTTCTTTTCCTGCTTGGCAAAAATTCCAGCACTTCTTGTCTTTTTGGCTAGCACACTGGCATCTATCCCTGTGGTCTGTTGCCTTTGTGGGAAATAAATCCTTCAAGGATCGCTTGGACCGAGAAGGGCTTCCAAGTCCATAGGGAACAACGTGCCTATTACCCAAAGAGAGAAACAAAGGGTATTAGCACAATTAATAGTCTTCAAAATGACACATTCTTTGGGGGCACACTCATTCGATTAGGCACACACGGAGCTCATCACACGGTGCTTGGGAGCGTAACTTGGGAAAGTCCAGTGTGGCAACAGTCAGGAACCCATCAATGGCCCTGAGCATGTGGACCAAACCAGGAGAAAACCAGCTTTTCTAATTCAATAAAATTCCATTTCAACTCTTAACGAAGTTCATTTCTTCTTGATACAAGCAACATTGCTTTTTGTCTAAAATTATGACATCTCTGCTTGGCGTCTGTTTCATATTTTCCTCCTCTTTTAATAGTCTATTTAATCAACAGCTATTCATGGAGGGACCGGGGGAAGAGACTTCAGTGCAAAAACTATGACTCGCAAGATTTTTAAAACCTGTTTACAGTTCAGATCATATATGATAATGCTAAAGGTGCCCCCTGAGGGGGCAGGAGGAGACACACGTTTGCACATTTCTCCTGCAGTTTGGTGAAACCGTGTGGCTGCAGAAGGACCCACTGCCAGAGAACACTCCAACAATTTCCAATGGATTCGTTTCAATTCTCACTTAAGGAATAAAGTCCTCCCCTTGGAAGTATTACCTTACTAAGTATTAGGGCTCATTATGTTTTTTGTTTGGTTTGATTTGATTTTGTTGGATTTTGGTCACCCCTCTCCAGAATATGCCACTGCAGACACAGTGAACGTGGGCTTGTTTATGACTGCTTCTGACGGATGCACTAGTGCCCAAGGCAAAGGGGGAAAACTGCTTTGCTTCGCTCTGGAGGTGAAAGAGAGACCCATGGATGGTATTTCTATTTCTGCCTTGCAGTGGGCTTTTCTAAAGAGAAAGTACAGGAGAGGAAGGAGACGCAGGTGCCAGTTGTAGCTCTGCCACAAACTCGTTCCTGCACAAGTGACTTCAATATCTTGGGTCTTCTTTTTTGTCTAACTAAAATGAAGGGATTGGAGTATAACCTTCTGTAATCCCTTCTGCTTCTCAATCTGTACCCTCCCATGAGCAGCACATTTGGACTAATCCACGTATGACCTGGGCAGCCTATTCCCGAAACCCACTCGGCTCCCACTGACAGAGCATCGTGGGGTCCTCTCACTTAAAGTTCCTTGTGTGAAACATGCAGCAGCCTCCCGCTTGTCCTCATCTCTTTCCATCCATCCCATAATGAGGAGCCTGAGCCACAGGGCCTCGGAAGACTCCCCCCTCGGTTGCTAAAAACCAAGCTGTCCTGCTATTTTCAGGAATGGAGGAGCCCTGAAAAGTCCCCAGGGAGGCACTTTGATGTTCTCGGAAATGCCACCTTCAGGGTCCAAACCAGGAGCTCCCCAGGAAGGGAGCGCTAATGAAAGACTAGGGTTACGATGCCCTCTAGAGACTCACTCGGGAGTGTTGACCCAGATGATGTCGAGGTGGCAGAAGTAGACGCACTCTTTATCCATCAAGGATGAGCAGGAGCAGCGCTTGGAGCGCCGGGGCCTCCAGGGTGCACCGGGAGGGGGCTTCTCCACGCCGTTATCAGCCCCGGTGCTGAGCTCGGTGCTGAGCTCGGCGCCCAAGACCGCTGGGGAAAGAAAGAGTAGATCAGTGGGGGATGTATCCTCAGAGGCCCAAAGACACGCTGGATCGCGGTGCTTATGCCAGGGCTAGCGGAGCAGATAAAAGCAGATGAGGCGCACAGGCTGCCTTCAGCAAGAGACGCACGCAGAGGGAAAAGGTTCTTTATTTTTTTCCCTCCTTAACAGGATTGCACCTTTACCCCCGCTGGTTTATACACAGGTTATACAAATGCAGAGGAGACAAACACCTGAAAAGGAATATCCCCTTGAAACAAGCTTCAAGGCAATGTCTGGAAATGCTACGTGTTGGAAACTTGGGTTGGCTTCTGTATGGAACTTAGTAGGACGGCACAACCCGCAGTGGCTTAAAATTGGCTGATGGCTAAAGATACATCGCACTGCCTACTACTAGCTTTGGGGCCACTTCCCCATTCAGGATGACCATCGTTTTAGAGGGTACCCACCACTTCACACCCTGTGTAGGGCACATCATAGCCCTTGGAGAAAATATATGCCTCTTGAATCAGGCTGGGGGCAAGAACGCTGAGGAAATGACTGGGGACAGAAGAGAAATTAATTCTACAACATTCATTTCAGGTGGGAAACCACACAGATACCAGTAAGCTAAGGTGAAGCCACGAAGCAGCTCAGGGGACCAGGGAAGGCTCTGTGCATTATGGATTTGAAATCCTTGGTCATTTGGCTTGTGTGGGATCTGCAGCTTTCCCTTCCCATGTCGGCATTGCCTCTTCCTTCTGACAACTTAGCCATGCAGCTTATCTGCCCAATTTTGTACATTTCAGATGATCAGACACATTCCAGGAGTTTCATTCCCTGGACATCCTTTCTCTTTAGTTAGGGTCATGCAAAGACAAAAAACGTGCATTGACCCTAGAAAACATGGGAACTGGGCAGATGCACACGCACTGTCTAAATCCTTAAGCAGCCAAGAATATTCTAGCTCCCCTCCCAGGACAGGTGAATACAACTAAAAAGAGAGCTCATGCTGTTTTGGGTGCCAAAAACCTGCCAAAAGAAACCTAAAGTCAATAATGACAAATTTTAAAGAAAACATCTGCTTCACCCTGAAACCGCCTGGGGGGTGTTATTCAACAGACTGTTGTTCTGCAGGTGATTTTACTGCTCATATAGTCCTTGAATGACTTGAATAAAATTCCTTGGCTTCAAGCAGGAATGTTTAAATATTTTACACATTAGCACACTATTAAAACACTGTTTAAATAAGATACGTGTTCCCTTATGTCCTATGTACCTGTATGAACACACACGTTGCAAACACACATTCGGTTAAATAATGTCTTATCTATACTCTTCCTGAGTTATATTTTTAAAAGCCAAGAAAACATATTATGCAATAATTACAATAAAATAATAAGTTATGTTAATGCCATGTTATATTCAGTCGTACCCAATTGTATTCAGTAGAGGGATTTTACATTTTTCTCTAGAAAACTGAAGTCACTTTGAGGACTAACTCCCAGACACTTGCTCTCTAAGCAGCAGTAATAAAAAGAAAGGAGAGCAAACAGAAGCAGCACAAGCATTAAGATGGGTAAGAAGACATTAACGTTCAGAGACTTCCAAGTCAGTCTGCGTGCCTACCTGTTTCTGGAGTTCCTTGGAAAGCCACAAACAGCAGAGAAAAAATCATGGGCAAATAATCCATTCTGGAAAAAAAAAAGGGATCAAAAACCTCCCGTGCGAACCGAACCCACAGGAAAACGAAGAAAAACAGCTTCAGTTCCTCGGAGCGCTGCGGGTTATCTGGATCTCAGAGCGATCCCCTAGCCGGGAGAGAGAGCCCTCCGTGCCTGGCGGAGGCGGCGGCAGAGTCTGCAGGCGCACGAGGCGGCGGTGGCGCGCGGACCGCAGCGGAGACGCGGAGCCCGTTCGTCCTGGCGCGGGTGCAGAGGCGCATCTGGCTTGGACAGCTCTCCGCAGGGCTTTTTATATTGAACCCCTATAGAGTGGGGGTAAACAGCTCCGACTTTATTCCAGCCCCAGACAATGTTATTGTGTTATTAGTCACCAACAGGCAACGTGCAGCCGGAGATAAGGCCAGGCTCTAGAGGAAATCAGTGCTAACTTCAGAGGCAGACGCCCGCCGTCTGACAATTCAGGGGCAGGGCTAAGAAAAAGAAAATACCCATTAGAGACCTTTGGTAAACCTGCCCGTGCTGTGCTGCAGTTGGCTTCCCCTTTGCAAGCTGCCAGCCCCGGAGTTCAAGAGTCAGAAGAGAGACTCCAGAAAAAAGTCATACCATTGGTATGGAAAGTATGAGCTACAGTTTAAATAGATGGTATTGTTGTGTGCGGGGAATTTTTTAAATTGTTTTTCACTTCATTTTCCTTTTATGTCTCTCCGATTCTAGTCTCGGTCAAACAAGGGACCCCTCTCCCTCTTCGCCCCCCCCAACACACACACACTGGGGGGCGAATTATTTGGCAGATCAACGTACTTTTTTCTCTTACTTCAAGCCCCTGCCCCCAAGTCTGTTTTGCTAAAGTTCTTCGAGTCTACGGGAGAGAGATCGGTGAGGGACTGGCGAGGAAGGGAAGCTTTAAAACAATAATCAGAGCAGTTTCAGGCACATAACCGATCTTTTCAATATCACTGAGCTAGAAGTCCCCACCGGCTGTCTTCTGTGCCCACCCTGCCCTCCCGAATCCCCGCACGGTCAAAACCACCAGTCTTAGGAGATGCGGGAGAAGAACACCAGGGGGAGGTGGAGAGCTACAGGGGCTGATGTTTTATTGATATTAGGACGAAAAGTAAAAGCCTTGACTTCTAAATGACAGGAGGAAACACAACCTGTGTTGGGGGCCCAGGAAGGGCAGGGCTCTTTACACAGGAAAGGAAGATGCATTTCAGAATATTGCATTTACTCCCTACACAGGGACAGCTTTTCTGGGTCGGTTTTTTTTTTAACTTTTGTTTTGTTTTGCTTTTTCATTTAGGGCAAGAAGTTGTTCTTCTTGTACAGGGTTACATGAATATGCAGTGAGGGTGGTGTTGGAGGAAATGCCATGAGAACAACGGGATCAGATAATACCTCGCATTTAATAATGTGTTTACATTTTCAAAACAAGTTCCTGTCTGTTTAACCTTGAAATATCCCCTAGGGTGACCACAGGGCAGTTACTGTACAGGTGAGAACATGCTGTAGCGAATAAAGCAAAACATACATGTAAAATATTGACTTTTTCAATTAGCCCCATTTTTCAGATGAGAAAACTGAGGCAAGAATTTATGTGATTAAATTTAGGGAGGGGGGAGGAGGGGACTGGTATTTTCATACACAAAGAGTGCAATGCGCACCACCCGAAGGATGGACATATTTGAAACTTGGACTTGGAGGGGGGGCAAGGGCAACATACGTAACCTAAACATCTGTACCCCCATAATATGCTGAAATAAAAAAAAAAATTTAGAGACTTTCTCCTGTACAGGAAAAAGGTGAGTCTACACCTAGATACATCTAGCACCTAAGGACACCATCAAATGGATACTTCCCCCATCTCCTCATCTTGTTTTACTCCTATTTTCCCTGGGGTGCATGGGGTGGGCTTCAAGTGTGTATCTATTTCCAATACTCCCACAACAGAGGAGGATCCCACAGAAACGTTTCTTCCTTCTCCTTGCTTATCTTTCACCTCTAGAATCAAAAGGACAGATTTTATCCCAACACCAAAGTTGTGGTCATTGACACACTTGGGCCCCCAGCCCTTCCTGGAAGGCACAGGTGGGTCAGCAGCAGTGTGTCAATAGCAGTGTCAGGTTCAAAATGCTATCCGTCCCGTAAAAGGGCCATTGCAGCAAGAGCTGGAGGTGGGGGAGACTCTGCAGAAACCCTTCCCCCTGCACCCACGCCCACACCCACACCCACACCCATGCCCAGAGATGCCACCACCCAATCCCCAGGGGCCTCTGCCTGGGCCCTCTGCCTCCCTGGTATGCTTACCTCGGCCCAGCCCCAGGGGCCCACGGAGACCACTGCTCCCCCTAGAACTGGGTGGCACCAAGCTGGAAGCCAGCTCTGCCGCCTCTGCTCGGGCTGGGGTCTCCTGGCCTCCCTGCACACCCCTACCCCCGGGCAGACCTTGGGAGAAGACAGGAGAGCTGATGCCACACTCACAAGATCCAAGTTTCCCCCACCCCGCCACCACCCACGGAAGAAAGGTGGCCTGGGAAATGTGTCTTGGCAGGAACCCCCCCTCCACCACCACCTTTTTTTAACCTCCTGGCAACTTTAACCAAACACTGGCAACTGTCAGGACCAACCTGTCTTCAGCCCCTCCCCGGAAACAACTGCCCCACCCTCCCAGTACCCTCCTGGGTCCAGCCCGAGCTCCCCTTCAGCTGGAGAGCCCATCTCCCCACCCACCTCACCCCACCCTACCCCCTCCCGCCTAGCTGAGGCTGTCTCTGCAGGAGCCAGCAGCACCCAGCCATCAGGTGGGGAAGTGAAGCAAAATGAAACTCCCCATGCGCCTTCCCACACCCCGCCCTCCTCTCCTGCCCAGTCTGTGAACGCATTGAGTTAGAAATACAAAGCGTGGCTAGCGACCTGCCGCCACGGGCCTTCTAGAGCTCTGTGAAAGTAAATAATAAGTAAGAACGCAGGATTTCAGACCTGGGAGGGCCCCCCTGCACCAAGTATAATCTTGCCCCCATCTCTTTGAATCCTGACTTTCCAAGATGTGTGTGTGTGTGTGTGTGTGTGTGTGTGTGTGTGTATTTTCATGTCTCTTTCTTTGTGTGTCTTGGGGCAAGGGGTGGCTTCTGCCTTCTCTGCCCATCTCTCCCTCTTACAGCAGCCCCCCTTTTTCTTCTACAAAGGCCGGGGAAGTCAGTTCAAGCCCAGAAAAGGCAGCTGAGGCACTGCCGGGCAGATTCCCAGCAAGAAATTTTCCCAAGAATCAAGTGGGGGGGGGAGGAGAACCCCAACAAACCAGTTTTACAAGCTAGATGCTCCCACCCCTCCACTTAAGGCATTGCTAGAGAGGGAGGGAGAAGAGGAGGTTTAGGAAGCTGGACAAAGGAATAAATATGGAGGTTTTACAAATATGGAGGGGCCTTCACAGCCCCCACCCCAGGCCTCAAAGAGCTGCCAGGGGAATCGCTGTTTGCAGCCACTGTTGTCCTCAGAGAGGAAAGGGAAGGGAGAGGAGAGAAGAGGTAAAGAAGATCGTTTTTTCCCCCAGCAGAACAGTTTGCTGTGGATGTTCTTGCTTTTGATGTTACATTTGAATGCTGGAAACTATTTGATAAAGCAATTTTTTATGTGTTTCTTTCTCTATCTCTGGCTATGTATTAATAGATATCTATAAATAAAACACCCTGAGCCCCAAATACAGATACTACACAGTAGCAAAATGTACTGTTTTTAGCACTCTTCAGCTTTGCTCTTTCTCAACTTTTGCGTAATAAAATTTGTAACTTTGCCAAGCCAATAAATTTGGTGTGAGATGTTGCATTTAGCTCAGCAAAGATAACAGCCATTAGGGTTGCTTGGCGATTGCGCAAAGAATGGGGAACTAGTTTATTGTGGGCAAGATGAGGCTACCCAATCACTGGGCCTCGTTCAGTTATGCATTGGTGACTTACACATTTCTACTTTGTGTGGTGCTCTTGTGAAAAATTATGTAGTACACTCATTATGCCTGTGACACATTACACCTCCAGGAGACATGAATAAACACAGCTTCTCCCCACAGTACAAAAAATAATGGTTGATTCAGTGCAGGAAATACGACGATGGTCAAGATAGATCCATCCCATGCATTGTAAAAACACATAATGCATGCAACTCTATTTCCTTGACACTTACCCGTAGGAAGGTAACAGACAGCAAGCATTTAGTTTAAAAAAGTATGTTCAATTCTCTAACCTAGCATTTCCCAGAGCCCAGTCATTCATAAACCTCTTTTGCAATTTTTGCCATATTTGTATGCCATTTACACATTTTTACTTAACATTGTCCTTTCAACTGACTTGTTCCTTTTACTTGAATAATTTTTAAGAAAATCTTGTATTGCTACTATCTTAAGCAACAATATGCATGAAATCATGGTTTGTAGGGTTAAATGATACATGTGAAACATTTGTATATTCATTAAGCTACTGGAAATAAAACTGTTCACACATGTGCTATCACTTTGTACACCAACACCAGCATGTTCGCCACTCTCCGGAAATACTGCTCCATCCACTGCACTGTCTTATGCCTTATTATGTTAAGAATTAAGCCCTGCTTTAATTCCCCTCTCCGGCCTTTACTTTCAAGGTATAATAACACTCAAATATCTCCCCTGTAAACTCTCCTATGGATGCACCTCCAAGAAACAAATGTTCTGGCATCTAAAATCTAGGGAAACAAGGGGTTCACATCCAAAATAGCTCCCAGTTGACACTTCCCTTGACTTACTGCTGCAAGGTTTTAGCACTTGTCCTTGATCTTGCTTTGCACCTTCTATTCTGAATTTAAACATCCTCTCTGAGTGTTTTGTTTGTTTGTTTATTTTTTGTTTTTGTTTTGGAGACAGGGTCTCGCTTTGTGACCCAGGCTAGAGTGCATAGCTCACTGTGACCTCCAACTCCTGGGCTCAGGC